TGCCCAGCAGCACAAACTGTTACATTTCTAGAACAAAACATTCTGTGGGAAAAAAAGCATGGAGGCAAGGGGGGGACCTGTCATATTGTATAGGAGAAAAAAGAGAGACAGACAGACAGAGAGAGAGAGAGAGAGAGAGAGAGAGAGAGAGAGATCAACCTCAGCACCTCAGCCCTGGCCCTTTTATAATTGCCATTAATATATTCATGAGGCTGTGCTATCTAGATGTCACCCAAGAGCCTCACACACTCATAGGCAGGGCTTCAGGAAGGTGGTTGGCTCATGAGGGTGCTATATTACTTGGTGTATTAATCCACTAATGAATCCATAGTTGATTTGCTGTTAAAGGTGGGGCCTGATGGGAAGGGATGGGTCACTCGGGGTCTGGACCAGAGGGGTCAACTGCCCTCCCTGTCTTCTTTCGCTCTCTACTTCCTGATCACTACGAGCTTTTCTCCATCCAAGCCCTTCTGCCATTTCATTTTTTGCTAAAGATGGCCAAACATGGACTGAAACTTTGAGCTGTGAGCCAAAATAAACGTCTCCTCCTCTAAGTTGAGGGTGTTGGGTATTTTGTTCCAGCAATGAGAAAATGACTAAGACGTGGTGGAACCTTCACGTTCTAACACCTCCCATTAAGCCCCACCTCCCAGCCCTGTGGCCCTGCGGATTACACTTCCAATACCTGCTTTTGGGGCCACACATTCAAACATAGAATCATTTAAGCTTGCTAAAAGACAAGGTTCATAAATTAAAAATAGAAAGCTAATGTAGTTTTCTGAGCACTCTATTTTGGCCTTCCACCTAGAAGTCTGGCTGACAAAGGACAGCAGCCCACAGCAATGTACAGGACCATTCACGGATAGCAGCAATTTCCACCCCGTCCTGCAGGAACACTCTGTTATCTTCAGTTGGCTGGGGTTTGCAACTGCTGTTCTTTTTGCTTAGCTAATGATAAATTACTGTGGGTTTAGCTTGTTATTATCAATTTAATTTGTTGTGGGTTGCTTGGCAAATCCCTACAGTGTTTAATAACACTCATTTGCATCAGCAGTATTTTTGGTCTATAATTGTTCAATAAATAGACTTTAAGTCCTGTATGCATTGAGTGAAAATAGGAATCATCTGTATCGTATTGCTAAAGCAGATGTACTCATACTCCCCCAACTTCTAGGACACTTTTAGGATGGCATTCCATTTTTATTGCCTAGTTGTTTTTCCACTGGGAAGTGGAAACAGGTGAGGTCTTGATTTTCTCCTAATTGGGCTGAGGAAAAAAAATAAATTTTGGAACAGATGGTTAGAGGAATTTGCATATACAGTGCTTGTTTTAATATCAAAATGTTTATGTAGTAGAGGGGTATAGCACAGTGGTTCCCCCTTATCCACAGTTTAGTGCTCTGTGGTTTATTACCCATAACTGACCAAGGTGCAAAAAATATTAAATAGTAAATTCTAGAAATAAGCAATGCATAACTTTTAAATTGCACATCAATCTGAGCAATGTGATGAAATCTCACCCCATCCCATTCTGCCTCAAAGGGACATGAGTCGTCCCTTCATCCAGCATATCCTTGTGTCATGTATATATACAGGGAGACATATGCCATATAACCAACAAAGACACTCGTGTCTAAATAGAAACTTTAAAATGCATCACAGTAAAAGACACATTGCCCTGAATATCCCTCAAAACGCTCTCCCACGCCTCAGACTCACTTAGCATTCTTGCTACTTTCTGAAGTAGTTCTGGAAGTTCTCTTTTGTGAGGGTCTTTACAAATGTGATAAAAAATATGGTGAATGTGGTTCCCGAGTGTCATCCAACTGAAACACAGGCTTGTAAGACCCTACAGTGTGTGGTCATTTATCATATTCACCATATCTGGCACCGTGTGGATTCTGGCTCTTCCCTAAAGTCAAAATGACTATGAGAGGTGTTATGGTTTATATCTAGATATCCCCTCCAAAGTCTTATGTGCTTTTGGGTGGGGCTTTTGGGAGGTGGCTGGATCACGGGTGTGTGAATATGGATGAAGGGTTTGATAACTGGATTAGTCCACTGAATGGCTTACTATAGTTCTGGGTGTGGCTGAATGGATTTACTGAGACAGAAGCCCCACCCTGGTTGTGAGTGGCACCAACCACAAAAGGCTTGTAGCTTGGATGGAATAAAAAGGAAAGCAGAGGAGGGCTACTGTGTCCTGACTGCCACATCATGGACTGTTTCTCCTCTGCCATGCCCCTCTGCTGCGCTGACCTGCCTTGGAGCCAGCTGACTACAGACTGAAACCTCTACAAACTGTGAGCTAAAATACACCTTTCTGGGCCAAGGATGGAGCTCAGCAGCAACATGCCTGCCTGGCAAGCGCAAGGTCCTGGGTTCAATTTCCAGTATGGAAGGGGAAAAAAAAAGATCTTTCTTCCTTTAATTTGTGGGTGTCGTGTATTTTGTCCTATCAATAAGGAAGAAACTAAGATAAAAGGTAAATGTTTTAAATCAGTTCAGGACGTCAAGTCAGCCAGGACAGCACAACTCAAAACAATTTCTGGAACTGCTTGAGAAAGTAGCCGTAGGGCCGGGGATTTAGCTCAGTGGCACCGCGCCTGCCCAGAAAGGGCAAGGTCCCAAGTTTGATCCCTGGTTCCAAAAAAAAAAAAGAAAGAAAGTAGTAGGAATGATGGAATAAATGTATTGGAAGACAGGGGGTTTATTTTGAGAGGGATTAATAGCAATGTGTCTTTTAAACACACACTGTATTTTTATCATACTGTGTAGTAAATATAGGATTCAGTACCACCTGTCGTTTTAGGCATCGCACTGGGGGACTTGACATCCATACCCCTCAGTTAAGGAGGGGTAACTGTATCTGTTTGAAAAACTAATCTTAAACTGTAGAGGGTCCTGAAAGCTTGATCTAGGACAGGGGTTGGGCAAACTTTTGTAAAAGACCAGTTAGTAAATATTTTCATTCTTGCAACCTATCCACTCTTTGTCACAAAGACTCAACTCTGAAGTTGTAGCAAAACAAAAACAAAAACAGCTATAGTCAGCCTGCACAAATGAGCAGAACTGTGTTCCAATTGTATTACAAAAACAAGCAGCCGTCCAAATTTGGCCCACCCTTGGCCAGGAGTTCAGACTTCCTTTTGTTAAGATGTTTCAGGTACGAATTTGCCCCCAGTTTAGATAAATAAGAGATGTAAACCTTAGTTTTTCTGCATGTGAATTTATAGCTAGTTCAAAACCCTATTCTTCAGGGATAATGGAAACTCCATCTCAGCCTACTTGAGGCATTTCTATCATTTTCTTTGGTACTACATCTCAGTTCTGCTGGGCTGGGGGTTGCTTAGGATCTAAGAGGCAGGAGGGTAGGATAAAGTCCCTGATCATTATCTCTCCACATTGGTCCCACTGAAGAGTTCCTTTTCATTTTGATTCTTGGTTATTGGCTACCATGGACTGAATTGTGTCACCCAAAAAATATATGGTTAAATCCTAACCTCCAGTGTCCTGAACATAAATTTACTAGAGTTGTTACAGAGTGAATAGTAAAAATGAGGTTGTACTGGAATAGGATGGGTCCTTCATCCAATACACTATAACTAGAATCCTTTGAAGAAGGATAAAAACCACAAAGACACAAGGAGAGAAGGACACCATGTGCCCATAAGCAGGGATTTAATTACAGCAGGTATAAACCAAAGAATTCCAAGGTGGACTTCCAGCAAGCCACCACAAGTCAGGGAAAGGCAAAGAAGGCATCTTCCCTATAGGTTTAAAGGAACATGGTCCTGAGAGACATTGCTTTCAGATTTCTAACCTTCAGAGCCATGAGGGAGTAAATTTGTCATTTTAACTACTCGGTTTGTGGTACTTTGTTATGGCTGCTCTCAGAATTTAACACATTGGCCAGTGCTAGTCACTGCTAGAAGCATTCTTCATTCAAACTCCAGATCCACTGGCTCCCTGAGCTATAGTCCTTGTCTCTAAATCCATTTCTTTCCAAAATAATGGAATGATAGCCAGGAACTTGACTGCCCACCTTGATATTTCTCAGCCTTCTGTGCAGCTCGGTAGTCTCATGGCTGAGTTCCTATCAATGGTGTGTGAGAGGAAGTAACAAGTTCCACTTTCTGGTTTAAGTCTTATGACATCACAAACACTTCCAGAACACTCTTTTCCCCCTTGCTGTTGGCTGGAATTGAGATCAAACAGTGATGCGGAGTGGACCACACAGACAAAATGCTATAGGATGGGGATTGTAAAGAGCATACATTAAAGTCTCTCCTGAGAGCTTTAAAATATGCCATGCTCAGGCCACAACACAGACAAATTAAATCAGAACCTCTGGGGGTGAGGTGAGGCCCAGGCATCAGTATTGGGTTTTTTTTTCCAGTGTCCCAGGTGAATTCAATGTGTGGCCAAGTTAGAAACCAGTGCCTTAGAGAGAATAAGATGAAAAGAGAAGACTGGGAACCTGACTAATTTCCAGGAGCCAATCTGGTCTTTTCCCACTGGGCGAGGGCCTCCAGTGGCTCCGGAAAGCAGATCACTCACATAACATTAACCTCCAAAGCAAGAGCACTTTGGCTAAATTCAAAAACTGTTATTTTTTGAGACAGGGTACATTTCTTTTTTTTTTTTTTTTTTTTTTTTATGGTACTGGGGATTGAACTCAGGACCTTGCGCTTTCAAGGCAGGCACTGGAACCACTGAGCTAAATCCCCGGCCCCAGGGTATATTTCTGATGGAACAGAGTTTTATTTCAAAGGCCTGGAAAAACATGTAATCTCTGTTATGGTTTGGAACTTTAAAGTCCCCCAAAGGCCACCTGTTTAAGACTTGGTCACCAGCCTGTGGTGCTGCTGGGAGGTAGTGGGACTTTTTTTTTTTTCGTGATACTGGAGATTAAACCTAGGCCCTCTGCACTAAGGAGCGATAAGAAACCTAACCCACACGACCTGTAGAGTAAGTTTGCCGGTTCACTGACTCCCATCACAGAAAAATAATTTTCAGGACACATCAATGAGAGGCACAAAGGGAATTATTAGGCAGAAGTTTAAAAATAACACTCAAAGGAATAGAGTGCAAGCCCTCAAGAGAGAGAGGCACCTTATTTCCCGGAACTGGGACATTTATGCTTCTCTTGAGGGACTGGAAACCCCAGGAAAAGGTGGCTGAGCCCTCATATTACAGGTGCTGTCCCATGTTACAAATATGAGCCCAGAGTTTTTTAGATGGATTATGTAAGCATTATTTTAATTCCCTCAATCTGTCCCTTTATCTTAGAATTAGGATTCTGATCTTTTCCTTCTGAGTTAAGCCAATTTATGGACTCTCGGGATTCCTGAGGCATGTTGGGGGAGATGGGTCTGGAAGGAGAGGGGCCTGAATGTGACCAAGGGAACATCAACACCCTGAGTGACTTCCACAGGATCCCAGAAGTTTCTGTCTTCTTAAAAGTACAATCTTTAGTTATGATTTTCCGTGTCTCCTTTCTACCTTTTATATTTCTTCTTTCTTGCCTCATCCTGAGCAATGCTGTTGTTAAATACGCACCTCCTGTGGACCTTCCATGCAATACAACTGGACCATATGCGCTTCCGGGCACTGACTGCCCACTTAGTAAGTCTCTACCCACCTCCACTGCCCCCACTAAGCTCAGCTCAGCCTGTCTTGAGCAGGACGGATGGCAAGAAACACAGCCCTCCCTCAGGACCAGGGGAAATTGGCTCTGTCACTGAGCAGACTCCATGGAGGTCCCCAGAGAGGAGGTGGAGACCCTTTTGAGACTTCGCTGACTCTCCTTGCAGAAAGAATTTTCAAGACGCGTAAGAGGTGTAAAGGGATTTAAGAGATAGAATTTTATAAGAACACACTCAAAGACATAGAGCATGGGCCAGAGGGAGGGAGGGAGAGGGAGGGAGGGAGGGAAGGAGAGAGAGAGAGAGGCATGCTTGCGGCCTTGAGCTGCATACATTAATGAGGACTTGGGGGTAGAAATCTGAGGAGGCTGTGAGTCTCTAGGAAGAGATGAAAGGCAGTGGTCCTTTCAGTAGAGGAAAGCGTGACCCCCATCACTGGTGATAGCCAAGACCATTTACAAGTAAAAGGAATGAGCTGGGTGTGGTGACACATGCCTGTCATCGAAGCACTCTGGAGCCTGAGGCAGGAGGATCTCCGAGAGTTCAAGTCTAGTCTGGACTACATAGTGAGACCCTGTCACAAAAAACTAAAATTAATTACTTAATTAAAATAAAATAGCACAATATTTGTATAGAACCTGTCCTCCTATACACCTTAAATCGTCCCTGCATGATGGAGAATACCTAACAGAATGCTATCATTATGTACATAGCTGTTATAGTATACTAGGGGATGGTGGCAAGAAAAAATTCTGTGCATGTACAGTTCTGAGTGTTTCAGTCCTTTGTTGTTTGAGTCTGCAGATGTGGAGGGTTACGAGGTCCATCCTGTAAAGGCCCCACCACCCTTCACTCCATGCTGAGGACCAGGCCTGCAACACTGGAACTCCTGGTGGACAAAACGCATCACAACTACACCAATTACCAAAAGTATGAAGCGGAAAGAGACCCCTGGGACAGATGATAATGCCACCGCAGGGAGCAGGGGAAGAGGAGCATGCTGGGGTGAACTCAATTGTTTTTAGTGACAGTAATAGTGATAATACACTAAGATTTAAACTAAGATTTACATGTGATGTGCCAGGTGCTGTTCTAAATCCTTGTATTAATTCACTTAATCTTCAACTCTATCAAGCAGCTACTATTATGAATCCTATTTTAATGAGAAAATAAAGATTAATGGGCTGGGGATTTGGCTCAGTGCCACTACACCTGCCTTGCAAGCTCAAGGTCCTGAGTTCGATCCCCAATACTGCAAAAAAAAAAGAAAGAAAGAAAGATTAAGTAGTGTGACATACATCTAGTAAGTGGTACAAGACTATTACACCAGGTGCAGTGATGCTCACCTGTGATCTCTGGAGGCTGAGGCAGGAGGATCGCAAGTTTGAGTACAGTCTGGGCTACTCGGTGAGACTCTATCTCAAAGTTTAAAAAAAAATTTTAAAAGCTGGGGATGTAACTCAGTGGCAAGCACAAAGCCCAGGATTCAGTCCTCAGGACCAAAAAAGAAAGAGGAGGAGGAAGAAGAGAGGGAGGAAGGAGGAGGAGGGAGGGAAAGGAGGAGGGGGGAGAGGGAAGAGAAGGCGAGAAGGAGAAGCAGCCATAAGAAAATCCATTTCCAAAGGGTGACGTTGCACATAGCTACAAAGTGATTATTTGAGGGAATGCAAATATGTGTCTTGGTCTGTGAACAAGCAAGCTAGCAAAGCAACTGACTTTCAGTTTAGCACCAAGACAAACTGTTACTGAATATAGAAACGCAAAATCTTCTCCCTGCAAATCTGTAAAGACAAGTGCTTTGAGAATATAATCCATTTGCCCGTAGGATGAGATCAGTGTCATTTCAATCTCAGAGTTTATGCTTCCTGCCAAATACGGGCCTGAATGCCATCCCCCAAGGCTAGAACCCTTCAGAATCCAGCCAACATTCCTTCCTGGGCCCCCATACACAGATGCTGAGCACAAACACACATCCCCTGCGATTCCGGAGTGGGGGTGGGAGAACTCCCAAGAATTATTCTTTCTTTCTTTTTTTTTGTTACCAAGCTACTTTGGGAATTAAGATCATTAAAGACAAAAGCAGCTGTTAGGTACTTAGCAAACATAGCTAATCAACCTCACACTGTGGGGAAGTATTTAAATACACCAGCGCTGGGCCTCCAGGCTGACTGCAGCGCCTTCATTCCCTGTGGACCAGGTAATTAGCTAGACCTGGGTAATTGCTACCGCCAAGTAACAGAGGAAGTGATACATCACACCTGTGCCCAGGAGCAACACTTCAAAGTGTGTCAGGCTGAAAAATATCACAGGTAAAACAGTACATGTGCAGTGGTCCAAGACTGCTACTTGGGTGGCTGAGGCAGGAGGACTAAGCTCGGGAGTTTGGGGCCAGCTTGGGCAACATAGGGATGACAGACAGACAGACAGACAGGCAGGCAGGCAGGCAGGCAGGCAGGCAGACGGGTGGATGGGTGGGTGGATGGATGGATGGATGGATGGGAAGCTGGGCATGGCCAGGTGAGTAGAGTCTTTTCAATGAAACATAAGCCAATGGGATAAGTTATTTGCCCAAGAATCAGAATGTGATGTGCTTGTGACCTGTTCTCTATCTATCCAAAGAGGACAATTCCCTAAGGAATGACGGACCAACAAGATGAAAAGTAGCAGGATCCTGGAAGGACTGGAACAGCTGCCAACTGGACTCTCATCACAGACTTGGCGAAAGACTTGGGAATTATCCGTCCTCTGTTGGAGGAGGAGCTCTCTGCCCAAGCATCCTAAACCTTCACCCTCTATAATAGGCCATTCATTTAAGGTGCACAATGACCCAGAGAGTTGGCTACTATTATTATTCCTGTTTCACATGTAAGGTTACTGAGGCTCAGAGAAGGCTGAATAATTTGCCCAAATCTATCGCTGAACCGCCCTAAATGGACCCAATCTTACAAGCTTGCTTGGTGCTTGGATGGGAGGCTGCTTATCACTGCCAGAAGCCCGAGGCTTTACAATAATAATAAATTCACCCACAATTCCCAAACCATGTGGTGCAAACAACATCAGAAGCCAGATTCCTTCAGCTCTAAAGAACACACACAAGTTCTGACTCACAAGTTCCAGGGCTGAGGCTGAGAATCTGCATTTGTATAAAGCTCCTCTGTTACAGTTTGGATTAAAAATAAAATGTGCCCACCAAAATCTGATGTCTTCAGAGGTGGGGGTTTTGGAAAGTGATTGGATCACAGGGATGCTGACCTCATAAATGGATGAATCTATGGATGAGTTCAGAGCTGAATGTACTGTTAGGAGGTGGGGCCTGGTTGGCAGAAGTAGATCACTGGGGCGTGATGGGGGGCAGTCCTGTCCCTACATCCCTTCTCTCTGGCTCTTCCTGCTGTCTTTGCTTCCTGACTTCCATGAGATGAGAAGCTTTCCCCCACCATACCCTCTACCACCAAGTTTCTGTGTTGGAACCAGCTTGCCATGGACTGAACCCTCTGAAACCATGAGCCAACTAAACTCCTTTAAGTTGTGTATGCCAGTATTTTGTCCCAACAACAGAAAGCGACTAACACATCCCAAATGAAGCCAACACTGCTACACCAACAAATCATAATGTGAGCAGGAAAGATGTAAACCCCTAAGAATTAGAAACTAAGCATCCAGATTCCCAAGTTCTGTTCCCAACTCAAATCGCAGTGTCAATAGCTTGGGTTCCTAAAACTTTTCTTCTCTTTCTGAACTATTCCATTCTCCTGGAAATTGGTTATATTCATATATTCAGGGATTTTTTTAATAGGCAAATACTCTTTCAAAATGGGATTTGCCCTAGGAAGGTGTCATGCTTCCAAAGAGCAGTCACCATGAAATTGTGAGGCCTGATGCCACTTTCTGCAGACGCTGTGACAGCTGTCTCAACCTTCTATCTTGTCTTACTCTTGGGCTCTAATCCAAAAGAGCATTTACTGAGGCTGCTTACGGGAAAACCATAAGTCTTTTGTGCTTGTTTCAACAAGAAATATCAGCTGCCTTCGGGTAAAAACTACCCAAGCCTGGGGGGATATTATAATCAATAGCAAAACCCATTTAAGCACCCAAAACACTCAGAAAATGTATTCTGGTTGCAAACCCAGCTCCAGGCTGAGAAATCATCACATTCTAAAAGTAAGACAGATCCGGTTCACAAAGGAAAAACACAAATGGTCAGTAAGCATATGGAGACTGTTTGATATTAATTGTAAATAAATTATTAAACAACACACCACTCTACACATAGGAAATCAGTAAAAACTAAAAATGAGTACTAATACTGTTATAGTTTAGGTGTTTAAAATGCCTCCCCAAATTCTCATGTACGTGGAAGATAACTGGGTCGTGGGGGCCCTGTACTTGTGAGGTCATGTCTCACTGTGCTATTGGGAGGTGGGGCCTCGTTGGAAGTGGACACTGGGGGCATGGCATGGAAGGGTATACTTTTGTTCCTGTGTCTGCCCCCCCCACTTTCCTGGTTACCATGAGGTGAGCGCATTTCTTCCACCATGGCCCTCTGCCATGCCAACCAGCCATGCACTGAATTATCTAAAAATCATGAGCCAAAATAAAACTCTCCTCCTATAAGTTGTGAAGGTCATAAAGGAGCCAAAAACTTATACTGGAGGAAAGATAGCCTCTTTCATAAATCCTCCTAGGAAAATGGCTATGCAGATGCAGAAGATTGAATCTAGAGCCATATCTCTCAGCGTGCACTAAACTAAAATTAAAATGGATCAAAGAACTAAATGTTAAAATGAAACCTTTAGCCTTTTAGAAGATAAAATAGGTAAAACTCTTAAAGTCACAATAGGCAAAGGCTTTCCAAACAGAATTCCAGTTGCATGGGAAATAGTACCAAGAATCAACAAAGGATCATATTAAATTTAAAAGCTTCTGCACACCAAAAGAAACAACCAACAGAATAAAAAGACAAAGCACCAAATGGGGAAAAAGTTTGCCAGCTATTCCTCAGACAGAGAACTAAGATCTGGAATATATAAAGAACTAAAAAATATTAGACCCCCAAAATAAAAGACTCAGTCAAAAAATAGGCAACTGAAATGAATAGACACTTTGCAAAAGAAGAAGTACAAATGGCCAATAAATACACAAAGAAATGTTCAACATCACTGGCCATTAGAGAAATCCAAATTAAAACAACACTGAGATTCCATCTTACCCCCAGAAAGAATGGTCATCATCAATAAATCAAATAACAACAAATGCTGGTTAGGCTGCGGGGAAAAAAGGAACCCTTCTGTATTACTGGTGGGAATGTAAACTAGTATAACAACTATGGAAAACAGTATGGAGATTCCTCAAAAAACTAAAAATAGAGGTTCCATTTGACCCAGCTTCCAGGTAGTTAAAGATGTGATACTACAGTGATCCATGCATACCCACATTTATAGAAGCACAACTCATATTAGTTATCTTGGAAGTGGCCTATCCAACAGATGAATGGATAAAGAAAATGTGGTATTTACACACAATGGAATACTACTTTGCCATAAAGATGGATAAACTTGAGTCATTTGAAGGAAAATGGATGCACCTTGGAACCATAATGTTAAGTGAAATAAATCAGACCCACAAGTTTAAGTATCACATGGTTTCTCTTATAAGAGAAACCCAAATTATAAATAAAGAACAAAATAAAAGATAGATAATAGGAAGTAGAGAGAGGTTTCTCAGAGGGGAAGTAGATCAAGAGATGGAGAAAGGGGGAGAAAGAAGAGGGAAGAGTCATGATAAAAAGGAATCAGAGTATGTTATGTACGTGCACCGGCCTCACATGAGGATGTAAACATATGTACTGCAAACATGTGCTAATAAAAAAGAAAACATAAAACGTTGTGGGGTTCAGGTTGTGGCAGCAATGGAAACTCTAATACAAATACCAAGTGCTGCGGTAGTGCAGGGGACATGAGTACTCTGATTCACTGCATGGGGAATGTGTACTGAGACTCGGTAGCTGCGGGTAACAGGATCCCAATTCAGAAATGGTTTAATGAGGGGGGAAAGAAGGGAGCTGACCAGCTGATAACTCTGGGAGGCCCAGGGATAAGCAGGGCTCAGAACACAGCTGGATTCCGGACTGCCACAGATGTTATCCCACCCACCTGCCCCCAGTGGGCTAGCCTCAGCTTGGGAGTAAGGCGGATGGGATCACATTTCTAGAACTGTAGACCTCCAGCTGCAGGTGAAATATATCTTCCCACCACATTGATTAGGGTTGCCCAACCCTAATCCAAAACCCAAAATGCTGCAAAATCCAAAAGTTTTCTCATGTCAATAGGATGTCACATGTGGAAAATTCCACACTATGAGCCTTTATTTCAGGCATGAAATTAATGAAAATATTAAATTAAAAATAACTTCAGGCTATGTGTATGGGGTATATATGAAACATAAATGAATTTTATGTCTAGACTTGGGCCCCATTCCCAAGATATCTCATTAGGTACACACAAACATTCTAAAATCCTAAACAATCCAAAAGACTTCTGACCCCAAGCAGCTTGGATAAAGGATTCTCAACCTGTATGCTTGGTACTATGACTTGCTTTGGCTAGTGGGATATTGGCTTATATGAATAACAGACATACATGTCACCATACAATTTAGCATTGTGCCCGACAAGAGCATGCCTGGGAAGTTGCTTTCTCTTTATCCAGGGCCACAGGATGAGTGAATATGGAGCAGAATAAGCCCAACTCTCAATTTAGCACTAGTTAAGCTCAGCCAATCCACAGCCTGAGCAAAGTCACTTATCCATGTCCTGAACAGATCCGCTGAGCCTGCAGACCGTGAGCACAGAATAAAGGCTTATTATTGGCACAGTAGAATACTACCCAACCATTAAAAGGAATGGAATCTTGGCACGGGGGATTTAGCTCAGTGGTTTCGCTGCCTGCTGCACAAATGCAAGGACCCGAGTTCAATCCCCGGTACCAAAAAAAAGAATGGAATCTTATCATTTGTGACAACATAGTTGGAACGAGGGGTCTTGATGTTGAGTGAAATGATCCAAAAAAAGAAATGCAAGAACCACATGATCTCATGTGTGGGATCTAAAAGTGTTGCTATCACAGAAGGGTAGAGTGGAGGTTTTTAGAGACAAGGGAGAGTAAGGGAGTGGATGGGATGGGAGAGCCTGAGCAATGGTCATTAAGTTATACTTAGGACCAGGAAGTTCTGACATGCAGGTTGGGTGTGGCTCAGTGGTCAGTGCTTGCCTAACATGCACAGGACTCTGGGTTCTAGCCCCAGCACTAAGATAAGAAGGTTCTGATGGCTATTGCACCATATGGTGACCACCGATAATGATACTGTAGTGTATGTTTCAACACAGAGAAATAAATCCCAGCACTTGGGAGGCTGAGGCAGGAGGATAGCTGTGATTTCGAGACCAGCCTGAACTACATGGTGAGACTCTGAATCAAAAAAATTGAAAGAAGAGCTGAGGCATAGCTCACCAGATGAGCATTTGATGCACAAGACTCCAGCCAACAGGTTGAATTTTTTTTTTTTTTTTGGTACCAGGGATCAAACTCAGGTCCTTGCGCTTGCAAGGCAGGCGACGGAACCACTGGGCTAAATCCCCGGCCCCAGGTTGAATTTTTAATGCTTTCACCCTAAAGAAGTGGCAACTGGAGAGACAGACTTCTTTGTGTAGAGCTCCACCCCCTATCCCTTTTTTATTTTTTATTTTGAGACAGGGTCATGCTAAGTTGCTAAATTGACCAGGCTGAGCTTAAGCTTGTGATCCTCCTGCCTTAGCCTCCCAGAGTGCTGGGATGACAGGCATGACCACTGCGACCACCTGGAGATAGATATGTTCAATCTGATTTAAACATTAAACACTTATACATGTATCAAACTACAACATGGTACCCTGTAAGTATGTCATACTTTTATGTTTGCAAGTGTCCATTTAAATTTTGTTTGTTTGTTTTTTGGTACCAGGGATCAAACTCGGGTCATTGCGCTTGCGAGGCAGGTGGCGGAACCACTGAGCTAAATCCCTGGCCCTAAATTTTCTAATTTTTAAAAGAATAAGTCTCTTGTTGTGAGTAAATCAGTGCATTTGGGGTGATTGATACACAGCATTATTATAGCAATCACTGACTGATACAAGAAGCATTGCTTTAG